TGTTTATGTTCTTGGCAGCCATTCTCTGCTTTTCTCCAATTGATTTTTATTTATATATATGTATTGTTAGTTTTTATTTTATTTATTTTTTTTTGGTTTATATCTTAGATTTTTATACAAAAGACAAATAATATGAACCTAATTATTGGGGGGTGAGAATAACGAATCGGCCTTTAAAGACATAAGTATATTGGCTATTGTTTTCTTTATTTTTAGATAATTTCAATGTCCCTATTTTACTTTTGATTGCTTCACCGACCTTTAGGCCAATACCTACTTGGTTTTCTCATATTTTACTTTTAATATATCAAATAATTGACATTTAAGAGTACTCTGCACTTAAAGTGTCATATAATATAAAATTTATAATTAAATTTACAGATCGGAAAAGTACATCTGCCTATTCACATTGGTAAACGTATATAAATAACCAGTCAGTCAGTCAGTCAATCAGTCAGGAGAACTAGACAGCATCTTAGATTAATGGAGGGAGAAATTATACTCTAGTGCGTTGGTATTGAGTACTTAATTGCTGCTTTTTATTATGATGTCATATGGAAGTAAAAAATATGCACCCGCATGCGGTCGGCGGTTAAGTTCAGGGAGTAAACCGCCTATTTAATCGCAATGCTGTGACTAAGCTAAATCAGTATAGAGTCTCCAATATTGTATTATAAGAACTTTTGATTTCAGAAAAGAACAGTAGTTGGTTACGGGGAGTCGTTAGTCGAAGTTTAACAAGTGCTAACAGTACATTAACAATATGGGTTGTGGTGAAGGACTAGTGAAAGCTCTGTTGATTTTGTTCAATGTTTTGTGCTTGGTAAATGAATTAAAAAAGTGTTTGCTGTGATCACTACAAATGCTCAGACTGTTATTATCTCTATATATAAAACTGTTTGTCCTGACTGACTGACTGACTGGTGATCAACGCACAGCCCAAACCGTAAGAGCTAGGAAGCTGAAATTTTCACTGTAGTTACCTTATGTGATGTACGTTAAGACGGGGTTTCGGGAAATTCCACCCGCAAGTGTGGAAAAATCGCGAAAAACGTATATATGTAACTTTTTTGTTTACTATCCGATCGGCCCCAAACTTATTTTCAAAGATCTTTGTTCAAATTCATTTGAGGGGTGTTTCACACTTTTAAGAAAATCCATTCCTCCTTGGTGGGAATGGAGGTCAAAGATTTGGTGGGTGACGTTTCGCTCTCAAATTCATTTCCAGAGATCTATAAGAAAAATCATTCTTCGGGGGAAATGCGATTTAAAGATTTTTTGGGCGAAGTTTTAAGTTGTGTCCGATTTGCTTCAAACTTATTTTCAAAGCTCTACATAAGAACTTAATAAATACGTATTTCAGCGATTTGGGAAATTCCACCCGCAACAGTGGTAAATTTTAAAACTGCAGTCGATTGCTCGATATAAATTAACTATTATTAATTGTAAGTAAAATATCTTACCAACTTAATATTGGAATGTTATCGGTGCCCGCATTTGAAGGAATCGTGAGTCACAATCACTTTAACCTATTTTTATACCTTTGACAGGGTATAATACTTAGTGTTGTGATGCATGTGTAACTCTTTGATTCCGTAAGTATATGTATTTTTGATCAGGTCTATATAGCCATAACTCTGTGTCTGTCTGGCTACTTGCAAACTGGTTTCCTGTAAAGATTTTTTTTTTGTTTGTTTATTGTATTGAATCAAAAATAGCATACATTTAATTACAACACAGTTGGCTTAGGTGATATTTCGCCAAGCCTGGTTGAGTCCTCAGGCTTTATCGTGGACAAACGTCAAAGGCGGCTTTTTTGAATAAGGCTGCATCGTCACGTAGGTAGTCGGGGGACTCTGGGGCGTCTCCTATGTCGTGGTTGGAGGAGGTCCTTGAACGATCTTCTATTGAGCCTCCTGTAAAGACTGGTTTTTCTGTTACATATCTCGGAACTGGCAGGATCGGACCACTCCTTTAAATAAATCGAACTAAAAAGTTACGAAGTCTACCATGTTCTTTGCATTTGCAGAAAATCTCAGCGATATCGGAATATGATATGATATGATTAAAGAAACTGGAAAAATGTTATGTTGGTCAAGATATCTTCACCAAACTCTGCAATTACGAGCTTTACTACTTTTCTCAGATATCTGCTAAGCATTAAGACGAAGATCTAAAGTGTTGAAGATAACTGTTCGATTTTGTTTGTTTTTCGTTTGCAGATATGTGGAGCAACTCTAGCTATTTTGGGGACTTTAATGGTTCTAGAGATTAAAGATGTTTCGAACATAAAAGAGTTGCTAACTGTGAACAGTGTGTCGATCGTAACGCTAGTGCTGGGCACCCTGGTATTCATCATTTCGCTGTTAGGTTGCTGCGGTGCCCTGTGCGGTCAACCCTGTCAGCTGCGAACGGTGAGTGGTAATTCCTTTGATCTGCCTAAAAAGAATTTAATACCAATATTTTATTTGTTTTTGCCAATATATGGGATTCGCGTGCGACAGTTGTCAAAATTGGAGTACTTATTGTATCTGGAGTGATGGTAGGTTCTTAAAATGTTACTTGCAAAATCTGTCCAATTCGAAATTCTTACAGTTAACGGCTAGCATGTTTGCCAGCTATTTGGCCCACAAAATACGCAGAGCCAACGAATTCGATTACTATTAATCCAAGTTGGTAGAGAGGTAGAGAGATGCTTTTCAACTAAAATACTTTATTATTTTATCGACATGGTATCAATTTTATTTATTTTATAACCATTTCATTTGACAACAAAATATAAGGGTCAAGCTTAATAACATGGATAAGAATTCTTAACTTTGTTAAAGGACAACGGCACGACATTAAAATAAATGTTAACTATAAAGATAACTATGAGAATATTTTGTTTATGTTTTTTTCTGGGTATCACTAATTTCATAACACACAGAATTCACAAGGACCTTTTCGAAAGCTTTTGGGTAATTTTTCTATGCCTAAATCCTAAAGAATATTCCAACTTTAATTATGTTGCAGCTTTTTTTGTTGCGCTTATCGTCACAGTCGTAAGCATTGTTATCAGCGTGACACTTGTCTTTACTAAGGCGCATTAAGTGATAACTCAAGGGATGATTTCTTTTTGTCGTTTAAGTTTGCTAATTTTAAGTCCTTAGAATTGGCGCTCCTTGTCCACGTTCGAGTTGAAACTTTCGCCTGTCGCCTGTCGCCGTTGTCTACCGCCCTTTGTCTTGGCCACTTGCTTATCGGGCTTGGCTTTGTTGTGCTTAGCAATTTTTAGTGTTCTTTTACCCTGGGGTCAGCATGCCCCGAACGCTTTTTGCCGCTGCATTGGCAATAATAACGAGGGTAGATGGCTGGTTGTTGTTGTATAAAATGCTTTTATTTGCAATTATTTTGTATATTGTATATCGTATATATATTAGATATATAAAAGTGACACACTCATGGTAAAATCTTGTTAGACACAGATACATATATAATATTTCATTTTAATTATGCGTGTTTTTTTTTGCCTGTTGATACTTTAATTTTTTCCTTTAATTTTATTAAGTGCTAAGAAAATCGATCAACTTACATTGGGTACAATATTTTTACTCGAATTATGTTATTTATTTAATATACGTTTTTTTTTTCATTAAAAAAAGCAAAAGTAATTTATTATAATTATAATAATTTTTAGTTTTATTAGTGGCAGTGTTGCAATTTAGTGTTTCTTTTTATTTGTTTTTTACTAATGAGCTGAAAGAAATGGCTAAAATAGATATATATTTACATGCTAAAAACACCGACACATACACACACACACACACAAATACGCACACACACACACGTGTAAGAGAATAGATACATAGATATTTGCGCTTAAATTATTTGCAAATGATTAAACTAAATTGGGCTTAAAATATGGTCAAAATAGTGTTTGTTATGTGTGTGTGTGTGTGTGTGATGTCTGTTTGTGTGTTTGTTCTTTGCGGGTTGCGCTTACATAAATATTATTGAAATTGCTGGACGTTGTTGGCATAAGTAAGTAAGTTGTTTATTTTTATTATAGCTAGTATCATAATTGTTAACATACACAGAAATATGCACATAAACATATAGATATATATGTGTAATATAATTTTATTTAAATTACATTTATGGGCTACTTAATAAATTTATTTGGCTTTATTTTCTGCTTCTGCTTTTGCATCTGTTTCTGTTGAATTTTCCATTGAAGTAAAATTAAATTTTACATAATTTTCATGCTACTTGTGTGGCATTATTTGTATGCGTATCAAATTGGTTCTTAGTAGTTAATAAAAAAGCATATTTAATTTACTTGCAGGCCACACACACACACACACACACACACAGACACATGCGCAAGCAACACACGCATAACAATAAAATTTTATATTTATCGCTAACGATTTCCTTGGCCAGGAAGCGCAAGTGTTTTTGCTGCCTCTGCGCGATTGTGTGTGTGTCTGTGTGTGGTTGTGTATAACTGTGGCTAAGCCTCAACATACTACATAAGTACATACGTACATACGTACATATATGTATATACATATGTGCTCGTAAGCATAAATATCTTTGTACCGCCTGCTTTAGGGGCATCTTCCATTTTGTTGTCTGTGCCGCACGCATATTTTAATAAATTTTATGCCGCTGAAATGCGCGCCGCTTATCATTAACGCACAATTTATTTTTGCTTTTATGTTGTTGCTATTGTTGTTGTTGTTGTTGCCGCTGCTGCTTTTGTTGTTTGTGTGCTCTCTTATCTGGGAGTTACATTTGCTTTTTTGGCTTTTTGATTATTTGCTGCGCATCCTAAGCTATTTCGAAATTCTTCGTATATTCGTTTACTTATTTTGCATGCATATTTTAAAGTATTGTGTTTAGCTAATTAGTTTTAAGCGCAATTTGATCTTTTGCTTTGCACACACAGAGACACACACACTCACAGAGTCACACTATACACAGGCATACTTAAGATTCGTTACAGACATTATCTATTTACATGTTGGCAAAATGTACATTTAATTTGCAACGACAAAGCCCGCAACGAGTTGTTGTCGAGTCGAAAGTTTTGCACAACTTTTGGCCCAACGGCTTTTAAATGTTGTTTATTGTTGTTGATGTTGGTTGCTGTTGTTACTGCTGTTCCTGCTGCTGGTTGCTGTTGCAGTTGCCTCTTTTTGTTTTCCATAGCATACTTTTGTGCGAGCACCCGCATGTAGTTTTCATTTAACTTTGCACTTACACGTGTTGTTGCCGTTGTTGTTGTTGTTGTTTTTGCTGTTGCTTATAGCCAAGCTTGTTGCTGCTCGAAGAGCTGTTGCTGTTGCTGCAATTGTTGCTGCTGTTGCTGCTGCTGTTGTTCCTGTTGTTGCTGCAGCCAAAGTTTACAGAATGCAGTTGGCGGCGGCGCCGAAGCGCAAACTGTGGCAGAAGCTACTGAAACGTGCTGCAGTTGCTGCTGCTGAGCCTGGGCATGGTCGTTGTAGGCGGGCGTTGGCTATTGCAAATTAAATTTAGCTAATTCTCACAATTCTGTGCTCATTTCGCTTACAATTGCGCTCTGCATTGTTGTTGTTGTAGTTGTAGTTGCAGTTGCAGTGGCATGAAAAAAAGAAATGCAAACATTTGCTTATTAAAAAAAAGTTTTAGCTTGTTATCGCATTAGGCTTTAAGCCATTCTGTGTGGCTTATCCTAGTTGTAAAGTGTGCGTGTGCGTGTGCGTGAGTATGTGAATGTGCGTGTGTGTTTTTGTGGCTTGTTAGTTCATTTTTCTCTAAACTACTGTGCGTATGCGTTATGCGTGTAGGTAAACAAAGCAAAAATAAAAGCTCTTAAAGTATTGCAAACATTATGGCCAGGCGGCCATTAAATCATTTAAGCGTTTGTAGAAAAAGTAAAATGTATATAATATTTTTGTAGTAGTTGCTGTTTTTTATCTAGTTGTGGCTTTCCGGGCGCCAAAACAACACAAATAATTACTTAATTTAATCATAAGCCTAGCTAAAAATACGACCGAAGCCTAACAAACCAAAATATATATATATATACATAATTTCGACGCCGGCGTTGTCGACGTTTTATATAGACGTTCATAAGCTTATCTCTCCTCCTACTATCAAAATGCTTGCCTCAAATTTACGAATGCCGTTGCGGCATTTTAAGCACTTTTTTGTCCCCGCCTTGTTTTTTGTTTTTTTTTTTGTTTTTTGTCGTCGAGCATAAACTGCGTAAAGTTTTGCTGTTTTGCCCTTGCGTTACTTTCACTTGCCCCTTTTTGCATGTGGCACGAGCCAACTACAAAAAGTCGCGAATCGATGGGCGATGCGAACGAAACAAAACGATAGACAAGGAGTAGCAGACTATCTTTTCTGTCTTTTTTTCAATTAGTTCTTGTACGAGTTATTCTAACTGGAAAGATGTTGAAAATATGTGTAAAACAACTATGTCAAATAACTATATAAGTATATCAATTTTTTGAAAACTATACAAATTCTTCTCGAGCTTCTTGGATATTTGCTTAGTTTAAAGCTTAAGGTATATGTATAGTCCAGTATATGTATAGTCCTTTGCTAAACTTTAAAATCAATGTAATATTTATTTTTTGACAAATGCTAACTTATACTTAATAAATGGAATATAATACAAAACTCGAAAGGGTTATATAGCTCAGCTTAAAACAAATGAAGCCCACCAATCATATCAGCTATTACATAAAATTTACGCCGTAGAGTATTTCAAATTTGTTATGTGCCTAAACTCTTTTTATATATTTTGTTTCATTTTTTTGGTCTTTTGTTTATTTGGCTGCGCAAGTATTTGTGCGATATGAAATTTTTGTAGTGCGCTGAGCCTTTTTGCCTTTCATTGCGTATTTGTGTGTGGCTGTGTTGAAATTCGTATTTATGTTGCGCTAGAGGCCTGGCTGGGCACATAGACGAGGACATCGACCGGGAAGTATCATTTGCCCGGCACTTGCCTACCCTCGTAAATTTTAATGTTTTTGCTTTTCTGCTTTTGCCAGGGCCATCATATTTTCAGCTATGCGTGTGTGTAGGTTCTTTTTTTTTATGTGAGTCTCTGTGTGTCTGTGTGTGTGTGTGTTTGGATGTTTGGTGAAAATTATGTATATTTTTAGCACTTTCGCTTGTTTTGTTTTCGCTTATCGAGTTTGAAGGTCATTTGCTTAGCTTTCATTGCAATTTTTCGTCGCTTTTTCCCCAGCTGATGTGCGTGTGTGTGTCTCTGTGTGTGTGTGTGTGTGTGTGTGTGTGTGTGCGCCCTTGAGTGTGATATCATATCTTCATATAGTATGTCTGAAATGAATGTTTGCCTGCCTGGCTGCGCAGTTAATTTGTTGTGAAATTGTCATTTTGTTGCTTCAATGGCTGCGTGCAATGCGGCGTATGAGTAATATTCGTGACGAAACTCAAAACAAATGTAAATGGATGGGCAAATGTATGGAAGGACCTTTCGGGGTGCGCTAATGAGGCGCAAACAGATCCGAGCACACAATTGAAAGGGCAGGGGATATTTTTTTTCGGCACAGGTCTCGACCGTTTTCATAGCAGAAGCAAATTTAAATTGACATGTTTAAAGTCAATTTGTGCGCTGCCTGAACTTTGGCTCATAAACAGGGCAACAGCCACGCCTACAATTCAGTTCTCGTCCAGCCCCTCCCCGCTGACATTAACCTATTCATTTGTAAATGGGCTGTCGAATTTCGTTGTGGCATTCACATTGTCTTCGCATCGCATAAATATTTGTGCGCCTTTTGCCTTGCCGAGCGTAAAAACGTAGATGGAGCAAAAATAAACAAACAGGAACAGGAATAGAAATGAAAACAGGAGCAGAAGCAAAAACAAATGGCGAGAGGCAGTCAAATCAAATGTAAATCCAAAATGAAAGCAAGCGCCAAGTGAAATTGAAATGAAAACGAATGTAACGCGGAAGAGTCTTTTCCATTTTCCATTTTCATACATTTCCCCATCATTGTCGTTGTCGTCGTCGCCGTCTTTGTTGTTGTTGGTATTGTCGCTATACATTGTTTCCCAGTTTTCTTGAAGGCAATTGAAAATTGGCAGCTTTGTGCTTTGGCTTTGGCCATGCCTTAGGAACCCCACGGAGAAGCTAAAGGCCAAAACGAAAGCTGCCGTCAAGGGAGCTCCTGCCACACCCATCGAGCGTTGAGCCACGCATAGGCCTAACAGGCACATTAATACATAATTTATAATGTTTTTATTCTGTTTTATTTGGTTGGGTCTTGGCGCTCTTTAAGGCGCGTCGTTATGTGTGTGTGGCTTGTTGGGCAATTTGATTAAGAAATTTCGAGCTGGAGATGAGTGTAAGTGATTTAAAATTGAAGCAGCTGAAAGAAATCTTGATCACCTGCTTAAATTATATTGTTATAATAAGCATAAAATAGTCAATTCGTGGAATAAGACTCGTTTTCCCCTGTTCGTACCCTAACTTTGGCATACTTGCGAAGAAGTTAACATTAATAAAAATTATCTGGAGAAGCTGCAATGTCAGTATAAATCAACTTCTCGCGGCAATATCAAAATAAATTAACTCGTCCACGCGGAATGGCAGTAACACATTGCAAAATATTTAACAGGTATATTAAGCACCTGGTAAATTTTGAAAGTTAGATCGCATGATTCTAGTAACCAAAGAAAATATGAGGAAACTAATTGGGTTTGACTATTTTTACGAATGGTCTCTACTTGAACAGCAGCATATAAGAAACAGACTTAAGCGTTAAAGACTTGTACTAAACGCATTAAACATAGGTCTTGCTTATTGCATATTGCTTGTTAGCATAACAATTTAAACACAATCTCAACTGGGGGATCAATACACATTCTCAGGGCTTAAGTCGCCCCAACTGCAAAGGGAAATTCAAACTACGTTTCACTTTTAAGGCTGCAGTTGCTGTTGTGGTTGCTGTGGCTGCATGCGGGTGGTTTAAGGGACGCACCTTAACAATATAAAAGTATCAGGTTGTTAGCTAAACAAAAACTTGTAAAAAACTAAAATAAAATAAAAAGGAAAACATTTAAATGGCCGATACTGGCAAAAAAAGAAAAAAAAGATTGCAGCAGAAGTCAAACGGCAATATTCGAAAAAAGAAGTAGAAGAAAAGTATAAAATGTAAGGGAAAACCAAGAAATAAACTTACCGGCGACTACTTTGTATAATTGGCGATAGGATTATCTCTAAGCTGGAGGAAATGTTTTGAGTTTGTTGTAAATTCGAGTGCGTATTGGAATTGGTTCGTAGTGAATTCGTTGCGGCAGCAACTGTTGCAGCTGCTGCTGCTGTTGCTGTGATTTGTTGTTGCTGTTGGTTTGTGGGGGATGTTGGGTGATCACTGGGTGGCGCATTCAGATTCGGATTGGCATTCGTATTGGAGTTGGTTTGGCTACTATGGCTATTGCTATTTGCATTCAATGTGGGACAATTTAACGTTTGGTTGGCTGTGGTAATTGGCAATGCTTGTTGTTGTTGCTGGTACTGTTGCTGTTGCTGTTGCTGCTGCTGATGTTGATGTTGCTGTTGTGCTTTGGTGTCGTTGGCACACTGCTGACCACTGTAGACATTCGCATTGCAATTATCTAGATTAATATTGGCCAAAGCGGAAATGGATGCAACTGTTGTTGTTATTGCATTTCGATTGCTGTTGTTGTTGTTGTTGTTGCAGTTACTGGCACTATTGTGGCTGCCTGTGGGCGACATCAAAGGGACGTCAGCATCAAACATATCCTCAGCCTCAGCGGCCTCATCGTCATAAACATCATCGGTGTCTTCGGTTTCATCATTAGTTGTGGCTGCATCTTGCTGAAGGGCCTCCAAAACGGCCATTACCTCATCCTCCTCACTGCAGGAGTGCGATGAGTGCATTGCCTGTGCATTTCGATGGGGTTTTTGCGGGTTTTGTTTTGAGTTTTGGTGGAGTTGGGGGTATTGAAAACACAAAACAAGGTTTAGCTCTCTTGCAGGGGTTTCGGGTCTACATACAGTTATGTATTAAAACAAGCACTATCTATATATGTATATATATGTATATCACATTTTAGCACAATTCGTCATGCACTTACATAAATATTGTTTAGCCACAGACTTAATCAAATATTATTGCTGCTAATTCAACATCAATATCAGCAATAAACTAAACAAACAATAAATAATTATATTTATTTATGCAGGCAAACATGCGCGATGCATTTTATTACGTACTTGATACTAAATATATTTATGTAGATGTATTCATATCACAAATCAAAAAAGTTATTTGTACGTGTACTTTGTGAAATGCAGTTTAAAAATCAGCTACAAAAGCTGGCGATGTATGCTCGTAAATTTATTATTATAGCTACAGGCGAGCAAATTTTAATTACACACATTCAAATCCAGCGTAAAATACTCACGACAACAATAACAACAACAACAAAAACAAGGACAACAAACCGCAAAACCAAACAACAATGTGAACAACACAATGGCACATGCCAAATACCCGTGGATGGGGCTTAACAAAAGCTCGCCTGGTTGCGTTCATAAAGTGACCGCCGGCTAAACACCTGACCAAAATCAGGTAGCAGCCAGCGTAGGAGTTGGAGTGCATATTGTGCTCATGCCACAGGACTTGCGCTCTGTGGTTTACGATTGTTTGCACTGCCATGGATCTGAGTGACGATTGTTCAATGATTATTGCTGTTGTTGTTGTTGTTCTGGCTGTGGAACTTTAAGTTAACCACCTACCGCAAAGTTTAACTGTAGACCTCGTTTAAATTCCAAAAAGTTGCCGTAGATGCTATTTAACCAACCAAAATGCTGGCAATTGGCTAACAAAAGGAATTTTTCTTACAAATTAAATTTAAGGAATCAACTATTATCACAGGTAATTTTGTGTTGATAACATGCCGTATCATTTCAAGCGTATTTAAGATATCAATCAGATGTGATTTATATTCAATTCATTTAGTGGCATATCAAAAGGACTTTTTAAATTGATATCAACATAATTCAGCTGCATTAATTTCGTAATTGAAATATCTTTCCATCTTTCTATATATATTTAGTTTCACATCTGTTCTGTTATTTCTTTGTGTCTGTGTCTCAATCTCAATACACTTAAAAGCTCATTCAATTTAGCCAAAGACATGTTTGTTGTAGCACATTTGCTGTTATTATGATTGAGTTCACACACACACACACACACACACACACAGCTTTGTGAATGTGTGAAGGCAAACATTATGTTCCCATACTTTGTCAGTCGGGTAGATAGACAGACACATACATATTCATTTGTAAATGAAAACATAAAGGTGCACACGCAAAGGGATCTTGAGTTAGCATATAGCTAAGTATCTTTATCTTGTGGATACAAACACTTGAGCCACTGGTCTTTTGTATGTGCTGTCGGCTTATGCTGTTTTGCAGCCAACTAAAACTTTTCTTGTGTCTGGCAAAGTTTATTTTGGGCATTTGATTGAAGTTTGTTTGATTTGCTATTAATTAAAATTGCATTCAACTTGAAAATTGTATTTGTTGCCTTTAGAGATAACTTATTGGAGGCGAGTGCCAAGCCCCACCCACTCCATCAATAATCAAGCTTGAATTGCAGCCTAATGGAAACACGTACGGGATTGCTTAAATCAACAGGACTGTGGGAGGAGGTTCGGCTGAGCTAGGCATTCCTTGCTTCTTGTTGCCTGTTGAAATTTAATTAATTTTCTTCCACTTTTATGGGTGTGCTTCTGTCAGCTAGTGTGTGTCTGTGTGTTTGTAGCTTTATGTGTGTGCATTCGTGTGTTAATTAGGCACAGTCTCTTAGTACACACATGTACATTGGCTCTTTGGCCCAAACGCAAATGCATCAAATTGCCTGGCAAAACGTTGGCGGCTATAAAACGCCCCCCGCAATTAGCAGCACCCTCTAAAAAGGACTCTTTCAATGTCAGCGACTGCCACCGAACCGTCTGGCAACTGTCAGGGCCAACTGCCAACAGGCGTGTCAACATACTCGTCTAGATAATAATTACGTACGCTCCCTGAGCTCTATTTTTTACCATTTGTTCATAGGGTATTTTTCAGCATTTTTCATGCAACGGCGTAAAAAATATTGAACATGTTTTTGTTTCAAATAAAAATGCACATAAATATTTAAAGCGACAGATGTCCACTGCGAAGAGACAAAAGACCAGCTTAGAGCCATACAAAAAAAGGCTAAAATAAATTTTAAAAAAATATTTCCCGACGTCTATTGTCTGAATACTTTATAATTAAATCATCCGGTGTGCGGAGCAAATAAATAAAAAACCCAATTGTTAAATAAACTTTTTTACAGCATTTTCCGCACTATTTGAGTCGTAAATTGTTTTCTGCTCATAAATCAATTGCCAATGCAAAAATATTTTTATTTGTTTTACATTTCTATTAAAAAAAAAAGCAAAAAATATTTCCCCTTGTTTTACCTAAAGTTTTTTTTTATAAATAACAATAAATAAAAACAATAGTAAACCTTCTATATGGCTTAAATTGATGGAGTTCTAATGGTTTTACATTTTTGGAGGACTGGCAAAAAGTTAGTCAACAACAGACAGAAATATAAATAAAATTTGTAACCATGTCTGCTTTTTGTTTATATAAAACTTTCGCAAATAGGAACTGAAAGTAATAATATATGAAATACTAACAAGTCGTGGCATGTGCTTAAATTGAAATATTTTGCATTCATTTGTTGGAGTTTGGCTCATCAAAAATGTTTAAACTTTTACTCAACATTAATAATTATTTATTTAATTGGAGAGTGCGTCAATTTGATATTGTAATATTATATAAATTGTTTATATAAATTGTTTGTGCCCAGTGGAATTTTCATTGCAATTTTCAGTTAAGTTTCGTATAACAATTTTCATTGCATATGACATTTGTAATTGTAATTGAAACTTATTGAATTGAAATATGAAACTGAATTATATTCAATTATTGCATGTATTTTCTAATTGTGTTTAGTTAAATGTTAAGCTTTTTGATACTATGCCTGACTATTTGTTTAAAAGGCCATTTACGAAAAACGGCTTTAAGCTCAATAAGCCTGGCCATAAGTTGTCGCTTTTATTGTTTACCAATTGTGTTAATCTAACATTTGTTAGTGTTGTAGTGTGCGTCGCCTTAGGGCGACAAAGAACAACAACAATAGAAAACAATACCAACAATAGCAATAACAACTGCAGGCACTTACACAACTCTTCAGGGGCAGCGTGAAGTGCGTACTGGCCAGGAGACAACAGCAGCAGCAACAGCAACAACAACAATCGAAACTTTTGGCACATTAAATCAGTAAATTTATTGACTTAACTGCTTTGGCAAGGACATGCCACATGCCAGCCACGCCCACACCTACGCCCACGCCTATCGTTTGCCTTTTGGGTTCTACGGAGAGTTCTCCGTATCGTTTTGCAGTGCGTTGGTCTGTCTTTATTGCTATCTCTATCGCTCTGTCAGTGGCCCTTTGAGTTCCTGACTCGCTCCTTGCTGTGCTGTCATAATTTTTGATTTGCTTGTTTTATTTGATGTCCTTTGGCCGTTGCTGTCGTTGTTGTTGTTGTTGTTGCTGATGCTGCTTTTGCTGCTGCCAGACGCTGTCTTCGCTTTACTAAGCTGCCTCCAGCTTAGGGAAAAACAATTTTGCAAAATTTATTTTATAGCAAAATTATGCCAAACATTTCGAGAATGTTTCTATGTAGTGTCTGTTTTTGCTATGAAGGACATTTGCGACACACATAAATACACACGCGCGCGCACACATACACACACACACACACACACATACACACACATATGTGGCGTATGTGTGTAAGCGGGTCGAGCTACACTCTCACAGAATTTATTTAAGAATTGTAAGTATTCTTGCTGTGGTAGCTGCGAATTTTGTGCCATCAACTTGACTTGAAATTATTTGCCTGGGCAGCCCCGCCTTGCCTCTCGCATTTGCTGTTCCATAAACTTGGATAATGTAGCGCAAATAGTTGCTTATTATTTATGCTGCTTTATTGCCTTCCGCCTCTCCCATTGTCTTGGCTCGTGTATTTCCTTGGCCTTAAATATCTTTTGCTGTTCAAGCAATTTGTTTGTTTGCTAGGCGAAAATTAGTTGGCATAGTTCTGTTCTTAATTAGTGGTGTGTGAAATTGAGCCAAAAAATGCATGTGTAAGGGATCCTTTGATAGATTATTTTTAAGTCTAGCTTTAACATACTTAATATATTAATCCTATCATTTCCTTTCCTTGCAAGCAAGTACATTTCGCAATGACAGACTATATAATAATTTGACAATTTAACAAATATGCCAACATGTGTTTGACGTTAGGCAATTATATGTGGTATATAAAAGATTCAATTTTAGGCCATCCTGATTTCTTACTATATGAATTGTAAAACCCAACTTCTATATGCCTAAGCTACTCACATTATTTAAATATTAGAATTTGGAATGTCTTTTCTGCCCCAAATACAAAACCCTCTTCAATACATAGCAGCTTGCCATCGTAATCAAGAATCTATATACCTGAATGGGGTTGACAGACGGACTAGACTAAGCCCCAATGGTGTTGTAAATATCCATTCCAATTACCCTGTACACCATACAAATCATAAAAACTTCACTGTTCCCTAGTGATATATGAAATTGTGTGTAAAGTTATTTCAAAATACATTACGCTGCAATCATGTGAATCTTTAAGATACTTGGCTTGAATATTTATATGTGGGTGTATTTATTTTCGCGCAGTCTATTTAAGTTAATTAAATTCCAGTCTATGCGCCAGACACAAAACGCAGATAGCGGCAAGTTTATTTGCAGACAGCGCGTCGCTTTTGATAACTCAAACAAACGAGCACAGATACACACACACACATACATACAGACACAAGTGTGTGCATGCCAAGATAAGTGTGCATGTAACTCAGGCCAGGACAGGAGTCCTTTTGGCCAGAGCGCCGCACACTGTTTACAATGGGTCTTACAAAATAATCAACATAAAAGCTTCAGTTACTTATTAGACGAAAATAGAGGAGAGTACGAAAAAAGAGATGTATGTATCCATATAAACACATATGTACTCCATATATACATACATATAAGCAAAAGTTGAAAATTAAGTATACGTTATGAGTGTGTGGCAACGACTGACATCATTGGCCTGCCACTCGCCGATGCAGAAGCCGATGCAGTAGCCGTTGCAGTCGCAGCTAAGTACATAAAAAACGAAGTGCTTAAGATAGTGCGAATAACATACGAATTCAATTAAAAGGCGGCAACTGAAAACTAGAAACAAAATAAAAACGAAAACAAAACAAAACTTGAACTTAAGCAGCTAAGTACACAGACAGAGAGTGGGGAACATGCAACACAAACAAGGATGCGGCAAGACAAAGAACAAAAAAACAAACAACAACAAGAAGAACAACGACACATGCGACAGGTTGACGCAACATGCGTTACATGGGGAACGGGGCAGAGCCTAAGGCTTACTCACAGTTTGCTGCGTTGAGGTGACATTCGATGGCGCGACATTCTGTCCATGCTGCAGATACACTAATGGCCCACTGGCACCGCCACCGCCAGCGCCCGCTGCTGCTGCCGCCTTGGGCTGCTGTACAATGGGCGGCTGCTGTGCGGGCATGACGGCGACGCCTTTGTCAAACTGATAGTACATGACATCGTTGGCGGGCGCCGAGCCGCCGTACAAAGGCGGCGGCGGTGGCGGCGGATCCGCTGTCTGTGCGCCCGAAATGTGATACGCGCTGGCCAGTTGCTTGGGCGAGCCAGTGCCTGAACCGGTGCCGGAGACGGAGCCGGAGCAGGTGCCGGAGCCAGTGCTGTTGTTGGCCATGCCTGGCGGCATCTGTGGCATCTTGTAGTTGTAGATGTAGGGACGCTCGTATTCGCCGCCATGTATATAGGACAAGAAAAGATCTGATTTGGCCGGCTGCAGACCAAAACCACCAACGTGCGATGCGCCAGCCACGCGCTGGCCCGGCGCACGATTGTAGCCAGCACTGGAGACACTGCTGCTGGCATAGTGCATGGGATAGCAGCTGGCGTTGGCCAGCTGAGAGCTACCACCAGCTGCCCCGCCCGTGAGCAGCTGCGTCTTAGTCAGACTTTGACCGGATAAACGACGCGTAGGCACGCCAATATCCGATTTGGCATCGCGCCGCTTGACCTGCGCCGCACTGGAGGATGGCCCTTGGTAATAGTACGGAGCAGCTGGATTGTTGGGCCACTCTACAAAACTGCGCTGCCTGCTGAAAGCACCACCACCACCACCACTAGCTGACACCATATTACCCGTAAGATTGCTGCTGCTGCTGCTCGCAACACCGCCGCCGGCACCGCCTGGACCCTTGCCCAGCGCATTGTTCAGACTGAACTTGTACTGATTGTTCTCAAAGGTCGTGTAGTTAAGCAGGCGATTGCCGGCGCCGATGTTGCTACTGCTGCTGGCGTTGCCGCTGCCGCTGCCACCGGCCGAACTTGTCGGCGGCGTTGAGTTAGTAGCTGAGGCGGATGCGCTATGCACCGGCGCCAGGTTTAAGTTTGGATTGTGATTCGGGTTAGTGGACGAGGAGGAAGCGTATTTGTAATTGGGCTTCTGTTGGCGTTGCTGTTGTGCGAATAATGAGCGTTGCTGCTGTTGCTGATTACTCACAGTCTGTTGCATGAGGCTGTTGTAGCCACCATTGTTGCCACCACCACCACCACCGCCGGCGCTGCCAACGGACTTGCGATGACTGCCACTGGAGGCGCCAGAGGATTTATTGGTGCCATAGCGTGTGCTATCGCTGGATCTGTTAGAAAGATAAGAAACATAGACCAATGTTGGTTAGTTTCGCAAAAATAGAGTTAGCTCCCTTTGTGTCTAGATAATTACCGTTCCGAAGAGTAGGCGTAATCCTGGTCAGCACCAAGACCTGAATCCGTGTGCTCGTGCGAAACGCGTAACGCTGAGTTCTCCAAGGGGCTCAGATTGGAGCCCGTGGGTGAGATAAAGTCGCCCATGCTCATGCTGGACATCATGCTGTAGAAGATAAAACATGGCAGAGTTGGACCATTATCGAAGAAAGATCTTGATCCGGAAAAGCTCGTGACTTACCGCACTAGACCATGCCCATTGTTGCGCTCGCATTCACGCGAGGAGATCGTGCTGGCCGAGCATATGGAGCCGTTCTTGGGTGCACCGCCGCCTCCGCCACCGCCCACGCCGCCGACATTGCTATCATGCGGATGAGAGCTTTGGTAGTAGAGTCTACAAATCAGCATTATGAGAAACTGCCTGAAGCAGTCCTAGAATCCTATGGCTTAACTCACCCTCTAATCCGATCTACGCGATTCTTGGCCTGCCCAGCGCTGGCCGGGCCGCTGCCATTCGTGATGGTATTACCCGACCCGGTACTCTTAGCGCCCACGCTGCTCTTGCTGTTGCTCTTGTGTATCTTGAGATTGGAGTTGGAGCGCTTTGAGGTCGTCTCCACCACGGTGTAGGGTATCTCGCGCAACTGTTGCTCCGACATGCCCTCGGTGTCCACCAGATCGAACTGCAAATGCTTGGCCAGCTCGCTGTTCCACATGCGACTACGCGACTCCGAGGGAGATCTGTTGGAGAACCGAGTTAGAGCTGTGAACAGACCCGAGCCCAGCCAGTTAACTTACTTGTTCTTGCGATGCCGACGGGACTTGTGATGCGAGTGCGTGTCCGAGTGGCTATCGTTGCTGTGCAGACTGCGAGCCACCATGCTGCTCTTGGACACGGACGCCTGCTGCACGGAGCTCTGGCCCAGGCTTGCCTCCGCCTGCCGCCGTTGCACCTCACGCCACTGCGTGGTGGAGTCAATCAACTCAGCGCTGCCGCTGCGCATCGAGGAGCTGCGATGGCCTGAGTAACTGCGTCCCCTGGTGCTGTCATGATCTGAGCCACCAGCCGAGTCGCGTCGATGCCGATGCGAGCGACGGTGCTTGCGATGATGCGAACGACCAGAGCGACCCGAACCACGTGACAGCTCGCTCTCATTGTCCGAGGTGCGACGATGGCGTTGCTTGTGTCTACAAAAGGTCGAGGAGGTGAGTCTCGAGAGGATGCACTGTGTGTGTGTGGAGACAGTTGCACTTACCGGCGCGTGGAGCGCGAATCGTTTGATGAATGACTCTCTACGGAGCTGGAGCGATATCGCTGCTGCTGTTGCGAGGCGGATGAGGAGCTGGCGCGCTGCTGCCGATGCTGATGATGCGACGACGATGACGACTGCTGATGATGATGATGATGATGACTTGTACCATGGCCGTGGCTATGACTGTGGTGATGATGCAGCCCACCGCCTGTGGTGCTCACCGAACGCACAGAGCGCGGGCTTGAGGGATTGTGGCCAAAGAGCGAACGCTGCTGGGATCTTGGCCAGGGAGCGCTGCGCGTGCTGCGCGGCGAGTCAGGTGTCTGCAAATTGCTGCCATTGTTGTTGTAGCTGCTGGAGTTGTTGTTCTGCTGCGAGGACTGGCTGGGACGCACGCCCAGGCTAGTGGGTATGCTATACGTGGAGCGGTAGGGACTGTCGTAGTTGCTGCAAATACACGGAGTGGGGCATTGTGTGGAGAGAGAAAGAAAGAGAGAGAGAGGGGGGTTGAGATCAGTCAGCAATTGCAACGCTCTCGCATTATTTTGCCATAAATTTAAATTGTTTAACATAAACGTTGATTAAAGTCTGCAGCATCGCGGCATTTAGGCTGTCGCTTGAACGGCCCCTGTCTGAGGATCGGGCCAAGCCAGGAGGACCGCCCTCAGCCAGCCAGCTAGCCGCCAGCCAGCGAGATCGACACAGACAAATAATGCGCGTGTGTAAAATTGAGTAATTGCCGCACTGGCAATCAGCGGGCAATCATTTCGAGCTCCCCATCGCAACAGACATGGACATGGACATGCACTTGGAAGTGGACTCCCCGGACGTGCCATCGCTCCGGTCGCGCCTTGTGATTTATGTCCCGCTTGCCATGGTGTGGGCAACTTGATTGGCCTGTCCTGGCTGCCACTGCACCCGCCTGACGTTTGGCTTCTTTGTTTGCAAATGATAAACGACGTGAGCTATTTGCTCTTCCCAGCTCAGTTCTATTCTGTTCGGTTCAGTTCGGCTGTGATCTGTTCTGTCTTGTGTTCCTAGGAATTGTTGCGCCAGCGATTACATTTGTGCGCTGCCACAGTCCCTGAGCTCTATTACCATCTTGGATAATTTATGCATAGATAGTGGTTTCTGCGCCGACGACATTGATGGGGTCAATGCGGCATTGCCACTGCTCAAGTTAATGATGAGATTTAAAAGCCACTGATCGTAAAATACTGCAAACATCTCGAGGAATACACTCTATGATTTATTGAGATATTGCACGAAAAGTTTCTCAATTGAGTCTTTTGCGGTAAAATAAAAAGCAGCTATAGCTAAAAAAGTATTTGTTTTAAGCAGTTTTCATATAAAACTAAAAATTTTTTATATGAAATAAAATAATATAATATTTAATATAAAACCTATTTCATGTTCGAGATAGACAACTGGGGTCCTTTCCAGAAAATATTTTTTTAATTAGTAAGAAAATTCTTCCATTTATCCTATTTTCATGAGTCTCGAAGCTGATTTCTCATAATTGAAATTAAGATTAATGAATCATGAGAACCCAACCTCTGTAAATATTAAAAGTACAATGTTTGATGTTGTGACCAAGTTTAATCTCCTTGTAAGGATTAGTAATCGCTGACTTTTTATATAAAATTCCTTACGTTAATAACACATATCGAAAGCTGCTGTTTACTACTCCCAAAATTTGCCTTCCCCACCTATAAATCTTCGATCTTTCGATGTATGACTCAATTTCCATTAAACTCTCGCTCGTCTTGATACAACATGTTGGCAGCATTTCCGCTTGTGCCAACGCCAACGCTTTTCTAATGGCCGATTTTTATTTGTCCATATATAATTTGATGTTCAGAACCATAAAACATTTAATAAATGTTGCGTCTAGACAATGTAACTGCCATCAAATGGCAACTAAATGGATTTTGAGCACGAAATCGAAAAAAGGGCAGCACAAAAACACATGCCACAGGAGCACTTGAATAAGGACATCGCAGCAACAATAACATTCACTAGAACAATGCGAAGGCGGCGGCCTGTCAAACACAACTCCTCACACGCACACACATGCGGCATGATGAAGTGTTTTCTGCATTGTTTTCTCTCTATTTTTTTTTTAAATCAACTGATACAATAGAAAGAGATAAAGAGAGAGCGACAGAGAGAGAGGGCGACAGTTTCACTATGCCAACATGGGAAACTGCATATGTATTTCCCCCTAAGGGAGCTGTTGCTTATTTTGGGGCTGCTGCTGCAGACAGCTACCCAAATGGAGAAAGCCCCAAAAAAAAAAACTGATATGCTGAAAATTAAAAACAGATCAAAGGAAGATGCTGCAGCGAGCAACATGAGAGCACTTCCGGCCGGCGCGGCTCTACAAAATTATGACCGAAAAAAGACTTTTTCCAAAAAAGGACCACTGCGCCAAAGGAAGTGTATAAAAAATATATATGCATATATACATACCGACAAATAGAGAACTGACGTTGGGTAAATCAAAACTTTTGTGCATGAAATGAAAACAAATGATGGATATTTGGAGTACTCACTTGGCGTTGGCGTTCGCATTGCTGTTGGCCAAGCTCTGCAGCGGCAACGGCTGCGGCAGAGGGCGGTTGCCAATGAGGATGTTGCCGACGCTGACGCCGACGCCGCCGCCGCCGCCTCCAACTCCACCTCCGCCGTTGCTGTTAAAAAAGTCATCAATCACGCGTCGGGGCTGGCGCTTGGAGGGTACGCGCGTAAAGGCGGGCGGCGCGCGTCCGGCGGCAAGTGCATCCTTCTCCATTTGCTTGTCCGTACGACTTTGGTTGTGGGTTGGTTGGGTTGGGTCAGACATGCGATTGTTGGGCAACATAAAAGTAGGCATGAAGGCGTCCAGAAAATATTAACAAAAATAAGCAACAGAAAAATAAAAACAATAATAGTACAAGATGCTCATGGTTGGTAATAATGAACAGTGAACCATAAAAAGGTTGTAAAAAACTTTCGTTTGTTTCACAAATTAAAAACGCTGGTCGAGCCTGACGAGCCTGCCGAGCGCTCGTAAAAAGTGCGCCAGAGCCGGCGCCCCAAAACTTTTGGCCAACCACCCTGGCGGGCAAATAGTTTCGCTGTGTAACGCTTAGCCACGTGAACTCGATTTGGACCAAGTTCGTAGCGGCCAAGTGCAAGAAAGTTTCGCCCAGCAAATGACCCAGCCGCAGTCACCGCAAATGGCTGTCATAAACATGAACCTGGACATGGTCAAAACGGGGGCCAGACCTAAGTCCCTGCCACATTCGTCATGCACAATTGCCTTGCATTTGCCGGCGGCTCAGGCTGAGTTTCTGGCTTCGGCTTCGGCTTTGGCTCCGACACCGACTCCAGCTCCGGCTAAAGCTTGGAGGCATTTCACAGAAAGTCATTAGTGGGCTTTGCGCTCGACTTGAGTTTGTCGGACTGCCTGCAGATCCGACATTTTTATTGGACTTCCAATTAGCTGGGCAGTCGAGTTGGTGTAAACTTGATCTATGTGTGTGCAGCCATGTGGTTGCCTGTATTAGAGATGCCACGACTTCTGCTGAACCAGTTCAAATGAACTACATGAACCCGAATTCTTAACAAATCCGGTAAGGGTGTAGTTCATTCCATTGGTGAACTAGTTTATTTAGCCCAGCACTGAATTGTGCTTGCCTTTAATGATCTAATCACACGAGCTGCCCATTCGCAATAGGATTTGGAGTGCTTGGTTACATTTTAATTGGCTGCACTTTTTGGAACGCTGCAAATTGGCTAATAAATTGGACAAAAGCGCACAAGCTGTGCATCTTGGTTATGGCTCCAGCCTGCGTTTAATAACATTATTTCAATGCCAAAAAGCATTCGCACACAAACACAGCCATCACCCACTCGAATGTGGTTATACTTCCGGCAGATTTGGCTGCACACTTGAAGCACCTCTTGGAGCTGGTGCCAGCTGTGGGGAGGTACTCGTACTCACCTGTGTCTGAAGCGGGAGCCCAGTTGAAACAAATCCGCTGCGTGTGACTGGGAATTGGGCAACGGCGCAACGCGCACCTGTCTAAAGAACGCATGATGCTCCACGCAGCATCTCCACAAATGTTTGCACGCCGATTTGCGTGGAGTTTCGAAGCCATAAGTGCTGAGCTCATTCTGTGAAGAAGGCAAGGATAGAACAGCGCAAGTGTGATAAGCACTAAGTCAAGTCACGACGATGACTACGACGATGACGAGGACGATGACGAGGACGATGACGAGGGCGGAGACGAAGACGTGTACCGACAAAAGATGCAGTTGCCAAGTAAAGGCAAATTGAGTGAATGAATGCCCGGCTGAATTCTGGGCCGCGGCAAACTTTCCTCTTGCCAATGTAAAGTGTGAATTCTTGGCCAAAAAATATCACCGACAAAAAAGAGATGGAAAATGGTAAAGTTTCGCTTTTGTGTGCGTCAACTGCGGAAAAGTTTTTTGATTATCAAAGCGTTAGCACCAAAAAGTGTTCAAGTTAGAAAAACTGCCAAGGAGCTGAGAGCAAGAGCTATCTGCTATCAGCAACCAGCTACCAGCTACTTGTTGTCTAACGAGTGCTTCAGCTTCTGCCACTTGAGGACGTTGACAGCCAAAAAGTTGTCACACAACGAAAAAAAATGGCAACACTGCGAAATGCTTGTAAAAAGACAATGTTTTTCCTGCACTGAAACTTGAATACACTGCGAGGCAAAAAAATACTTATTTTAAACAGAATATTCCAATACTTTTCATAAACTTAATATTTAGAGAATAAAAAATATATTTAATAAGAGCACATCTTGAATATGTACCAAGTATTTGAATATCTAAATTCTTGCCGGTGAACATTTAACATTGTTGGCTATTAATCTTATTGAAATTAAATAAAATATACTATAAAATCTTTTCTTACTGCAAGAAGTATTTAGTTACTGGCATTAAAGTTCAATTCTACAACTACATTTGAAGCCTTTCTTTTTGCGATCTTTATATAAAATCACAAGCTTAAGCTCTGTGAGAATTCAACCTCACTGTCTTCTGAAAAGTAACACTTTCGAGAGATGCCCCGACAAACTTTAGGTCGAACAAAATGTCAGATGATACCCTTTCTACAAGGAACATTAAAAACTTGAAGCGAACAATAGAAAACGAACAGCAAATTGTAAGAAGCACTCGACAGCGAAATATTTATGGTTAGGAGCAAATACTTCGTTGTCGCCTTCTTCGTCGTCGTCGTCGTCGTCTTTCGTAAATTTACATTTTTATCGCTTATCCTGAGCATAAAATAGCGTCCTTTATAATAAACTTTGGCAATGCGCGGCCAATAGTAATGAGCCACCGTCGTCTTGTTGCGCAGCACGACAATCCCGCTAGGCGTCAGGCCCAGAAAGTACTCGACACTGTCTTCGCCCTGGAAAACAAAAAGAAAATAGAATCGAGAATGAGCTAAGTTCGAGCTGAAGTGAGAGTTAGAGACTTTTTGGGGAACAAAGGAGAGCCTTTGTTTAAGCTCAAAGTTTTTGGCTATTGCCAAAAAATGTGTTAACAAGAGAGAAAAGTTTTGGCCAGCCTGGCCTATTAGCAGTTGTGCGACGCCTTATGGCCCGTCCGTGTTAACCCACTCGGCCCGCCCTGCACATAAAGCAAAAAACACAAAAAAAGAAAATAAATGTAATTTTAGCTGTTAATTAAATTAAAAAGCTAAGGGAGCGCAAGGCGCCGCAAACAGGACTGAACGGAGAGGCGAGCAGTCTTGGCTGGCAACTGGCGCCGCGATAGTCAATGATTTGTGTCTATAAACAAACAGAAGTAGACGGGAACACACATACCACAGGCATGTGGAGTACAAGGGTTTACAGCGTTGCCCCATTCCCCGCTCTCACACACACCCCCCCACACATACACACATTCATGGTGCGTATACAAACACAGCTGGTGATTTATTGAGGTTTGATATCAAAGTAAAGGGCAATAAAAAATGCAAATGAAGTGCCAACTTACGCAGCACAAAAGCGGCTACGACATACGAAACGACGGACGGACGGATTGAGGGGGGTGGTGGATATCGGGTTAGTCTGGACTGGAGACAGACCAGCCGTGTCTACCATGGGGTTGTGGGGGCGTGGGGTAATCATTGCGTTGGTCCCCAGAAATGTGTGTGAGCAAATGATTTATAATATTTGCCATGAAATGAAATTAAACTTTGCATTCGCCCTGACCCCTTTTATGGCTGGCTGCTTGCAGGGCAGCCGAGGCAGTGAACCAAGCTCCATGCTGTGGTTGCTGTTTGGTTCTAAAAGGGGATGAAGGGCGGAATGGGCACAACATATGTGTTCTTACCAGCACGGGATGCAAGTCAACGCCATACATGTCATGCCATTTGACTTTGTCCAAATAGTTCAGCTCCGCGCTGGATGGCGACATGCCCTTCAGCTGTTGATGCAGCTCCGAAACGCGGGTTTCCAGCTCGCTGCTCTGGTTGGGCAGCAGGCGAAACTCCGAGACGTAGCCCTTTGAATGGCGTCGCTGATCATAGTCACCCAATTCGGCTGAAGAGATGAAAGATTCACTTTTAGCTAACGCCTGCAGTTTGACTCTGGTTTTACTTACATTGCACCACAAAGGCGCCCAGCTCGGCGGCCAGCTCAAAGGCCACGGGCAGACGGCCCTGTAGCACATCCTGTTTGACTTGCAAAAAAAGTTGATATCTGTCAAATAAATAAAAGTGAACAAATTTAATTATTTGTCTCCATGAGCACAGTAACAGCAGCAACGATCTGTGGAGGCAGCTAACAAGTTCGTAAACAATTCGCCGCATAAAATTATTTGGATACGACTTTGATGTTTGGCCTAAACACACACAAAACGCAACTCCCAAACAAACTGTTTGCTTTGGCCGACAAAATCATTTAACAAATAAACAACAAGCCAGAGTGTTCGACTAGGCAATACCCTGCTAAAGGCAGAAGTATCCAAACAGAATTTTATACACTTTGGTTTACATACATAAAAGGAAATGGAATATGAACTGAATGTTATACATTTTGGTTTACATAAATAAAAGGATTTGAAATAGCATAATACAACTTTTTATAGATTTGAAATATTTCTAGTTTAGATAGTATATTTTTTAAAAAGAGACAGACAGACCACTATGGCTTGATCGAAATAATTATAACTATGATAGAAGTAACTATTGCTGGACAAATCTCCATTCTTCTATCTGTCACATACCTTATGAGAACCTTAATATGCCCCACTGCAGCTATTGTAACAAGGACAACAACATTGAAGAGGTTGTCACATATTTCCACAACATATTTGCAGCAAGTTGGAGTTGATGGGTTGTTTACTTAGTAAGTAATCCATTCTGATATCTATCAATCCTGTGCTTTGCTGCATTATATCATATGTATCAATATTGTGAACAAACTCATTTTAAGTATCCTTTATCCTAAAGCATATCGGTGGCACTTGAAGCACAATGTGCCACATGCAACATGCCGTCAAAGTCAATTGCCGTTTATTGTGTGCCGCAGACTTTGTATAGCTAAAATAACAAAATGGTCTCTCTCTCTGCACTTCAGTAATATTCAGCGATATAGCCAACTGCTGCTGCGTTATAAGTGCATTTCATTTCAGTGCATTTAACTGCATTTCACTGGATTTATATGCGCCAATATTAGCGCAGCCGTTGGCAGTCCGCCCGCGCGAGTTTTGATGATGTTTGGCCAGCGATTGGCATCCGCAACATTTCCGCCCCACCCGCTGCCCCAACTCTTATTGCACTCAAACAGTCTCCCTGGCGTCCAGTCGCCACCCGCACTTGGTGACGATTATGGCGGCTACGTGTCGTCGTATTAAGCGCAAATATTTGCACACACCAAATGCTTGATGAATGCAGCTAACTGCATAGCTAAAGCACGACACATAAGAGTGCTGTAGACCATACTGGCTGCCAGCCCAATTATCCTTTGGAGCTTTCGCAATTTCCCGCACCGTGACGATTGCCATTTTTATACCCTCTTGATATAAAAGGCCTCGAATAGGGTATACAAATTGTTTGTACATATATGCAACAGACAGGACTACATATATTTGCCACTGAAGAATGTATGCGCTATATGCATATATCCTTGATCTGTCAAGAGTTATCTATGCTTGGATTTATTATAATATGCCTTATTAATGATAGGTCTATAATATACCATATCTGTATCTCCAAAAGCTCAACATGAGTAAGTAATAATTCCAAAACCTTTGCCAGAACCTATTATTTGTATAGAAAATTACTTAAATATTTAAATTATCTACTAATGTAGTGGAGGGTATATCCTAGCATATCATTGTGGTATTAAGCATTCTTTCCAATTTATTTTGCTTGATATGCATACTGTGCATAAATGCATTAAAAACATTATTTCACCATCCATTAGTTGTCTGCCCTCTGTAGAGGGTCCTCTGGCCGTCAACTCGTTTAATTTGTTGGTTATTGAATTGTGAGTGTGTGGCAATTAATAAATTGAATTCGTTTAATAAAATGCGAAAAATTTAATTGTTAAAGTCTTAAATAATGCGAAAAATGAAACCGAGCTGAGTAATTCACTTAATGCATTTTATGAAGTTCAATTAAAAACAACAAAATTAATGCACTTTGAGTTTAATTTGTTTAATATGATGATTAATCTTACCTCGTAATTTCCTCGAGCAACTTGCATGGATCGGCGGCATAGAATTTGACACCGAAATACAAATCATATGGATCCGATTTGGGTTTCAGTTGGCGAGAGATGCGTGACGCTGGATCCAGCCAGTGCTGTAAAACGGCCCAAAGAAAGGAAATAGAAAAATAAATTTCAAAATGATAAAATGGCGAACACACACACACACACACACACACACGACGTATAAGTGTGTGCGCCAGCTTGTTGGCGTTGACAGGTGAGCCCATGTGGCCGTTTTTATGGACTCACATAAAAGCAGGCGCACACGGAGCACACGCAGGCACTAATGTGCGTGTGGCAAGTGGCATAAAAGTGAATTTCAATGAAAGGCCAAGGCGACGCGCGCCCCTTGCCGGCTGGCCTGTCTGAAAGCGAAATTATATAATTTGGCCTGCAGGCGTGGGCGTCTCGCCGGCTGCGTCAAAGGCTCAAAGAGTTTGGCCGAGCTCGACTTTTTGTTTTCCTTTCTTGACGCCCCTCAATGCGCCTCAATGAATTTCAATGAAAACGAAAATGAATTTCAAAAACCAATATGTTTGCACAGCAACAGGAACGGCAATGGCACAGGAGGAGCAGGATACGCCAGTCAGTTGCCATATCCTGTGCCCAGGACGCCAACCCTGCCGCCACTTACCGTTTGATTCTCATCGTCTATATAGCGTATGCCAAAGTATGAAGTCTCGATTAAATTGAGCCTGGCAAAAACGACATCCAGCAGCGCTTGGCCCGGCAAATCATCCTGAAAATAGACAAGAAAATCGTTGTTAAAAGGCTGTGTTGCAGCATAGAGATAAAGAGAAGCCGCTGATAGCAAAAGGGAGAGAGAGTGATAGAGAAAGAGAGAGAGATGGAGCAAAGAAAACGTTGGCCAGGCAAGGCGCTGGCAATATCTATTCAATGGCAAAGCAAGCACTCAAAACCTTGAAACACTGAAACACTGACAAACTGTTGAGCCATTGAATGGCCACAGCCATTGCCCAGTTGCCTTCGTCCTGTCGTTCTGCGTCCTGCTGTTCCGTTCTGCCCTTGCTGCTATCTTCCTGCTTGGCTGCGTCCGGCCAACAAAAGTGAAAACTTGCCGGCGACAATTATTCAATTGGAAAATTGCGCCTTTATTTTTTGTTGATAAAAAAATGTGCGCTAAATGCCACGCCTTGGCCCAGACAGCGGCCCAGACTGCGCCCCCTTCCTTTCAACAGTTGTTGGCCATCGAAACATTTTTTGTTGTTGTTGTTGTTGATTTAATTTAATTCGTGTGCGGGCAGCAAACGCTTTAAAAAGCCAATTTTTGTTTTTGGCTTTCGACTGGCGCCAATAATAAATTGAGTTGATTCCCTAAGGGCGTTCGGGCCCATTCGTTCGGGCACAGCTGCAACCGCAAAGCAGCCAAACTATGGGCCAGGAGGCGCACCATTGTTAACCACAAAATGCCACACAGACACACGCATTCCACATGCCACATGGCTGCTTCTTCATTGTCTGCCGCAGCTGGCGCTCAGCATGCTTGATTTTTGGCGCTGACCAGACACTACCAGGGCACTCCAGATCTCCATCAGGTCCCTCTCTGACTTCTGGGGCAGCTACATTTTTTTGCTGCGATTTTTTGTTTTGCCTGTATGCGGTAGGCGGGGCGTGGGGCGGGCTAGGTATGTCGACCGCTGCCATGTTTTATTTATAGTATTTTTGGCTTCACCAAACATCCCCTGGTGGCCAGTGAGATGCTCGCATCCTGCATGCATCCTTTTTGTGTTGGGAATGTTTTATTGTTGTTGCGTCATAAACTTAATGGCTGCCAAGTGTGAACAAGCCGAAGCCGTGTCTACCATTGGCAGCGCCCTTTGAATTTATGTTAAACCTTTTGCTGACCAGCAAAAGGACAAGCAAACTCAACAGATCTGAGGCTACACAAAAATGAACTGCTGAATACGATTGTAAGCTGTCATTTGGGAATTGAGAGCCCAAGAAAATACGCTTGCTTGGCGATAATCTGTATATGACAGCACGCCCAGCAATTTTAAAGCCCAAGCAGTAGTTGACCTCTTGTATAAAATCCCATTGTTGCCATAAACCATATACATTTTGTTGATAATACTCAGAAACTAATTGTCAAATGAATGACGGCCATAACGAGGATAACCGAAGCACACAGATGACACATTGACAATGACAGCTGCTAATCTCATAATGGCATGTCCTGTAAAATTGCATTAGAGATACGAGAGTACGTGTAAGACAGGACATTGCACAGGCGAGCACATTAAACAATGACTCGTAAAATGTTCAACTACAACAGCAGCGAGACATGTCCTTGTTCTTGCTTTCAACTTGCAACTTGCAACTGCTGTCGCCCGTTGCCTGCCTTCTGCTGCCTGTTGCTGCATTGTTGTCAGTGCTTTTACGTAAGGACATAAGTAGAAAAGTGCATTTTAAAAATGCATAAGCTTCATGAGTGTTCGTGAAATGGTTGGCTGCCATTTACTTGGAAAGTGAGTTTCCATAGCTACGAAAAGTTGCCAACTCTTTCTCGTAAATAGAATACTTAATATACCAATGTAATCTCTTGTAATAGCTTGCCACCTTTTAAAATAAAAATGCTTTATGAGCTAATGTGTACGTCAGCAACGATTTAAATTTAATATGCTGTTTGCTTAACGTAAGCTCGAGCACTTGCCTCTAGCTTAAGACTTCGTTTTGAAATCCCATTTTAGTATTTATGATATTTATGAGTATACACAATATAAACTCTTAAGGAGAATGTGGCTTATATTTTGTGTGCAATAAATTAATCATTTAAATTTCATAAAACCATGTAAGTTCATTTCCAAATCATGATAAAGTGATTTTGTATGGATCAATATATAATTGAATTGAATTTTGTATCTTCTTTGTACATCTTAGATGTTTTGCCTAAAATTTTTTAATATACTTCAGAGAGAGAGAGGAGGAGAGTGTAGACTTGATGTCACTCGACTCCCAGGCTTCTAATGTCTACCGTACTTCTAGAGACCTCTACATTTTAGGAACGAAATGAAATCCCTAAAGTAATTTTTAATACACTCAGTGTATATATACCTTACAGTCCAAATGTTTTTATAGCAAACTTTGAGTCCCTTAACCATCCTTTAAGGCCCATCAATACCAAAAACCAACTTGAAACTAATATAGACCATTCGCTCCGATCCTAATGAACTACGCTTCATGCATGCCTAAAAGCCTTTAACAAACTTATGGCTTAAAATCAACGTAACATGTAAAGGCCGCAATGGCTAGCAATTAATCACAAACTCGGCGCAAGTCCGGAAAAACTTGTGCATTTAGGTCCCAAAATGTTTGGCCAAGCTGTCTGGCAGGCAGAAAGGCTGCCAGGCAGGGCGGAGCCCACCCTTGTCTCTGGTTATTGGTTCTGGCCCGTAAGTCACTTGGTTGCCGGGTTCAATAAATTACGTTCGCCTTGCTGAGAATCAATGATGTATACAAGTCTGGGGCATCAAAGGCTGCCAAGAGTGGTGATTTTTAGATGAGCCATCAGCCAGGGCGATGATTATGTTGATGCTAATGATGATTAGGTCTTTGGCTTAAATGTCTTAATCAAATTATGCTTACTTTGATGTTTCTGGAGTAGCTGTTTGCGACTGATGGCAAATTCAACGCCATTGCCATAGCCAGCAGGAAAACCCACTTAATGAGCTTACATTTTTAGCCACACCCACTCATCTCCAGTGGTTCACATTGAACGACCACTCCAAATGCCCCACATACTGAAGTTGTCTGTATTTTTACCAAGCACTTTTCTTGTCAGCTGTCGGCAAAGAACTTTTGCCATGCAACTTAATTAGTGAGCGGCAAGTGGAAAACAAGAAAATACACCACATGCACGTGTGTGTCTCGAATTTGCCACACACCACTCGATTCGTGCTGCCTGCTATCTGAAGGCAACGGAGGCGACACTTTCTGCAACTCCTCCAACCAACCCGCCTAAATCCCAGCAGCGTCTTTTGGGTAACTTAATCAACGCCATTGCCGCAAAAACTTTGGCTACGTGACTAACCCACTTTTCCACGACTACGGAATTGCGTGAAAAACTGAATCACAATATGAATTTCAATCTGGGCACTGAAGTGCAACATCTTTGAATTTAACATAATTAACACATAGTTTACGTTCTCCATGTGCAGCCGCGGATTTTCATCCAGCGCAACTTTGTGCACAATTTGCCATTCGCTGCAGCTTATTTGCTTCGGTCTGACAGCTCGAATCCATACCAAAAAAAAAAAAAAATAGCTCGTTACAGCTCTAATATTAAGCTGAAATCTGAGCTCTGAAAATGTAGCTGTATCTGAATCCATGTAGCTGCATCTGTGTGTTTGTATCTTTAGCCGCTTTCGCAGTCTTCCCCAAATGCATTGTGCGTTTAATTGCGCTGCTTGGCTTAAACGTGCGCTGACCTTTGACAACGACACACACACACACACATTCGTTTGTGTTTATAACGGCATTATGAGTTTTAAGCTGCTGCGAGCAAACAAAGCCAAAGCAAAAGCAAAAATGAAAATATAAAAAAAGCAACGCAGTCGCTTGCAATGTCAGAGACAAAACGGCGACAAGTAGAAGAGAGAAGAGGAAGAGGAAGACCAATGGCAGCTACATCGTGTCGCAGTCGTCGACATCGTCAACGTTATGCACAAAACAAGCCGGAGCCAAAATGCTTAAAACAGATTTATGTCCATGCCGCCTCGGCTCCGGGCACCGCCACGCCCCGCCTTGCCCCACGGCACATACCAATCGAGGCTGAAACGTTGATGCTGGCGCATCTTCACCTAACTGAAAACACATTCAACAAACGAGATTTGCGTAATTCCTGCAGCTCAGTCAAGGTTCGTCTCGGCTTACTGTTTGTCGGTTTGTTCCCGCTGTCGAGAGATGCCTCAACATTTTGCATACTCTTATTGAAATGGGGCAACTCATGCGCAGTCGTCTACTTGGTAACATCATGTGTCTAATATTCTTTTTTTATTTATTCTTATTGTTGCAAATCTCTTAAAAGCTATCTTTGCTTTTATTTTTCTCGTGATAGTTTACTATTTGAAATTTGTCCGGCTGATAAATATTTGATTAGAAATTAGAAATGCAGTGTTGCCACCTTGCAATGCATTCGAAATACTTTTTTCTTATTCCATTAGAGTGTAGACAAGACAAGTTAGCTTATATTCCTGTTAAAGTTGGCAATTCCTGCAATCTTAGCTCGAGTTTATTGTTGTTTTCCAATTAAGCTTTTCAAATTTACCAGGCAGTTTGTGCAGCTAATAAATAATTGATTATAATTTAGATAGGCGGTGTTGCCAATTTGCAAATAATTCTTGGACAATATTTTAAAGAAACATATTTTTACCTGGCCTCTCCTTCACTAACTATCTGCGCTTGCTAAATACTATTTTTTCAACTTTTTTTCAAGGGCAACTAAGTTTCAGTTTCCCATTTGCCTTCTAGTTATTTTTTACGCTTTCAGATCTTAGAGGCTTGCTGTCTGCTTACGGGAGTTTTACTTCGCATGCCACGCCAGGCACATTGCCTGACAATGCAGCATGCGGATGGCCTTAGCATCAGTTCAGCTTGCAATAGTACACACATATGCCATACGAATGCAATATGAGTTAAGAGCACACTCATTCGTCCATTCTCTAGCGGCACTTTTTGCTTTCTAGGCTATGTCAGTTGTTGGTTGTCAGTTGTTGGTTGTCA